CAATCTAATGATTTTAATTAATTAGTCGCGCACTGGCCGACCGTACAAGAAACAGAATACGAAATGAGCGAGAAGAAAGACGACTGCTCATTTCCAGCGACATTTCGTTTCGTGATAAGGGAGAATAGCGGCGCTATCAGTGCTGTCGATTAATCTTGCGAGCACATTGTTCCCTTCAGAATGATGCCTGATGCCGCAACGTCGCCGCGGTGCATTAAAATTCAAAGCTCTGCCGTTATTTGTAGGCAGCGAGCGTTTCTAACGTACCGCGCGTGCCGCAGTCGACGACCGACAGCGCAAAACCACTTTGCCAACTTTGAGAATTTTTATGAAAGCGTCTGTTAATATTCAATACGTCCCGTGTGCTTCGCGAATCGCTCCGCAAATCCGTTAATGACGAAACTCGTACGGATAAGATCAGTTGGGAGTTCAAACGAATCGCGCGATCGTCAGCCGATTTTAATTAGGTGAATTCTCAGCCTCGCATTCATTTTTAATAAAAATTTTCATCCCCTTTCCCGTGTAACATTTTGTAACTCGTTCTGTCTCTTTTTTTTCCTTTGAAGCCACGACGAAACTAATTTCCAACTCGATCGATTTGCTCGATATCGAGTGTCCGGCGGTGATTGCTGCGTCTTTCAGAGCGTAAAATAACGCGTTCGTGAAAAAGTCGCCCCAATTAGCCTTAAGGGTTTCTTACGGAAGTCACGATTAGAGTTTAAATGGCGGTGGGGCCACAGGATACGTATATATATATATATATATATATGTGTGTGTGTGTGTGTGTGTGTGTGTATATAGAAACACATTTTATATATATAATACCACAGCAATCCGGTCCTGCGGACAAAGTGTACCGTTTAAACGGACTACCACGAATCCGCCGCGCTCACCGCGAGCCACGGTAAGAAATTTAATATCCGCGTCCAGAAGGATTATTTAAAGTGCCCGCTGGCTACGCTATCGATAAAAAGTTTTTGAAGTAAACCATACCATCCCCATGCTTCCTTCACGTCGGCCAGGATTACTCACCTTGCTCACAGTTTTGCTAACCATCCCCGCTCTTTCGCCAAGTCTTGCAAGAATAACATCAAAATTATGTACCAAGTTATTTGCGCAATTTATTAATAATTTATCAATACTTTGCAGAAAATATTAGATAAATATTGTGAATAAAAATTCCACAACAATAAACAATGCGATGATGGAGTAAACGAATAAATGCATTTTTAATATTTATTATTTGTAGTTGAAAATGAACTAACGGAAAATACTAACGTTCGGAATTTCGTCGTAATATTAAAACGAAATCGAATGCGTCGCGCGAGGATTGTGCGGGATTGTTTTTCGCTTGTCGCTGCCTCGAGAATGCCATTACGTCACAAGGATGAAGCCATTACGGCGTGGCAAGCGTATGTCGGGAATATTTTTCTATCGACGCGAAAAGCATCTTCGGGAGCGTCAACGAGGTGGACGCCACCAGAGGAGACGATGAGTTCCGATCGATTGCCACTTGTCATTCGCATATTCGTAGTTGCTCTAGTCATCCGCCGAACAAAGCGTGCACCTAGTGTGTGTTCGTGCGGAGACGGATGCAGAAAAAGAAAGAAGGAGGGAGGAGAAAGAGAAAGCGAGAAAGGGATCAATAGAAGCATTTACTCTACCTTCAAAAGAACGGATGGAAGGAAGAAAAGGAGACAGAGAGGAGATGGTCGGCAAAGAGTGAAGGGTAGAGGTAATGAACAAGAAGAGCCGAGACAGAAGGAGAGAAGAACGAGAAAGAGAAAGAGAGATGGGACAGGCATGAGGACTCGCAGGACAATGACGCAGGGAAAGAGGGAACAAGGGGACCGCGGGAAAGCGCCGGCCCGGTTTGATTTCGCCGGATGGGTTCGCAATAACAGTGCAAATTATTATTCCACTCCCGTCCACGTCGATCGATATGTCGGTCCGGATCTATATATTCCACGGCTATGATCCGAGGCCGACATCGTCGACCTTCCCTACCGAATAACCCCGGAATTAACTCAGGCAAAGCAGGACGGCAGGGGAGAGGCGAGAGACGGATAAAGTGACAGAGAGAAAGGAAGAGCGCGTGAGAGGGACATTCCCAAAGAGAGTGTTCATGGAGCAGAAAAATATCGACAGATCACGTACGCGTTCTTGCGCCCGCACACATATCCGCGTATGTATGCATATATGACGCTGCTTTTAATAACCGATAATATTTAACGTGCGCCGAATTCAATTTATAGGAAAAACACAAAGAGTGCTCCACGCTGTTTCCTCCGCCGATTGGATCGTCGTCGATTTTGCGGCCATCGCGAAAACGTGCGCGCCTTCCTCTCGTGTAGCACGAGAGACGTAGAAAAATTTCTATGGCTTGCTCGCTAACAATAGGTACCGCCGAAATATCGGTCTATCGGCGTTATACATCGTCGAACATCGCCACCGTATTACCTCGCTGTACGTTAAGACGAGCGGAGAGAACATTCACCCTTGTCGTTTCGATGGGCTTTCCATACCAAAAAAATTTTAATTCAAAATATGAAACGGAGTGTTTCAGGAGATTAGGCTATTTGAAAATCTACAGAATTATGCGAATCAAGTTTGAAGAAAAGATAAAAACCAATGTCTAATTTTTTTTTTAAGTTTAACTTGCTATCTTATTCCAATATAATTTGCAGCTCGTTTACGAAAGTACTTGATAACGTTGCAAGTCGAGACAATTCCGACAATTTTGCTGCCTATTTGGAAGATCCAACGCCTCGTCAGGCTTGCGACATTCTGTACGATTATTAACTAAAAATGATATCCTTAGAATTGGACGCGTTATTAATAACGGAAATACCACGCGGGCGAACGAATGATATCACATCGATATCGTATCGTGTTGTATATCAAAGGGAACGTGCGAATTTATCCCGATACACTGTTACAATGATGGGGTGAGTGACGACCGTTCGAGGGCGGGTGGGGGAGGAGGGAAGAGCGCTCTGGCGTTCGAAGCCAGAAAAATATTGAAAAATTGTCGGACGCACGCCGCTACACGGGCCCGGGCTCTGTAGTGTTTAATAATGGATAATATTTGATACCAGATCCGCCCGAGGGCGGGAACCCTCGATGCCCATTCGTCAGTGCGATCCGGTTATATGTATATATAACCGCCTCGCGATACAGTTTTATAACGAAACTCCAAAATAATAGAATAACCTTTTTCAGAGCCCGTTAAACCGCGCGTCTCTTAGATTAAACTTCCCTATCGATATTTCCGCTTGCACGCGCTGCACGCGTTATGCCGGATTCCTATATTTTCGATATATTATCTCGTCTTGTATTTATATTTTTTATATTTTAAAATACGGACTATATGGAAAGAGTAAATTTTAGAAGGGAAATTCGAGAAATCTTGAACGAGGAAAGAAATGGGACAGTGAAATAATGAATTTTCAATGAAAAATATCGACAGTTACCAGTTTGATTTTATATGCGGCGTTAGTAGTACGGGAATATTCACTCTGTAATGGTGTCATAATAGCCGTTAATTTTATCATGGAAAATTATGTTGTTCGATTTACGTTATATATATCCTAATGACTTGAATTACCCCACTCGACTTTATATCATTGCCGGCGTTTTTGCGTATTCCCGCGATCTTCCTAAATCAAATTCTCGTGAAATAACGATGTCGCTAATTATTGATAATGTCAGGTCTTAATTGGGGGAATTATTGACATATTTTGTGCCGGCGCTATCGTATGAGTATTTATCACAGTCGAACGTGCATTTATGCTGTCCGCAGTAAAAGAGTCCGCGGCGTAAAAGCGGGGTAATTCTCCGACCATTGAGATAATAAATTACTTTTGGACACCGAAAGAGAAAGAGAGAAAGAGAGAGAACAGTGAGAGTAGCGTATGATCGCAGCGCTTCCTTTTATCGAAATGAATATTGTAATTTCCTACCGACTTTTTCTCTGTTCTAGGTTTTTCTCTTTTTTTTTTTTTGCTTTTGTTGCAAAACTGTGCTTCTGCCACGATTTATGTCGTGCTTCCTTCGGCTTGCGAGAAATTTACGTACACGCAGCAGGAAGTTGCAGTTTTCGCAGGACTACCGTGACAAGGGATTGCACGCGATTTTCTCCCTTAGCAATAATTTTCGTCCATCAAACGCATATTTAATACTTGTTACGATTTTCATATTTAATCCAATAATTTCCTCTTAACAATAATTTTCCATCTGTTGAAACTCATGTTTAATAAATTCGATAAAATTCGCTTATTATTTTATGAAATGATACATATTTTTAATTTCATATTTTATTTAAATTTTGTCATTGTTCGAATGTATTTTAAATTATGTTTCAAGCTCCGCGCGGCAGCAATTCTCCGGCAAAGCGTCCGATAAATTTGCAACACTTCTCCGCTTGGAGCTCTTCAATTATGAATATACAGCACATATATATCTCGAATCTCTGTCTCCCCTCTTACCGTATCGATCTTTGCGTATGTACGCGAGACTATATGCGCGATCTTTGTATCAATAGTGCTACGTCACGTCAAACATTCTATCCTATAGGTTGCTGTATACACCGAATATGTATGCATATATACCGAAGTAGTATATCTGACAGAGTCGCGAAACTCTGTAGTATTTGCGTCTACTTCGTGAAACTCGAGAAGATAGTAATTTGAAGCCCGTCGGCTTCGGAGTGTTTATTCCGGAAGTACGTATCGCGCTCTCCACAACCCTTCTCCCGCGCGCGCGCGCCGGGACATACGTGGAATATTCATAACGCTCTTGCGCCTTACCGTCGTTTGTAAATGACTTGCAAATGTTTCGTTAATTACAATAAAGCCGCGCAAGGAGTCCCGCTTAAGCTCGGGCTAATGAGCGACGCGAAATAAAACAATGCGAGCGGCGGAGATACTGTTGCATATCGATGCAATCGCGAGTATTTGTCGAATTTGTGTTTATGTTTTCTTTTGTCATTATTATTACAGGCAGGAGCTTCGACGCAAGAGGGAAGAGTGCGAGCGTTTCTTGAAAGGGAATGAGAGTTCCCTGGTGCCTGTTAACTCCGCCTCTAATAACATCAACAAAGTGGCTCAACTAATTTCGAACAACCAGAAAGGTATGTCGTATACATTTAATTCGTTCGCGCGTATCTAAACTCTATTACATTTTTATTTATAAATACTTGTATAATAATTTTTTTACATATAAAAATATCATAGACATAATTAGTGCATTACTACAAATTTATATTTATAAATTGAAATTTAATAGAACTTTGACACAAGTCGCAGTTTTGTATTAGAAAATGTGCGGTGCATCAATGATGAATTTCTTTATTTGAAATGGCGTTCGAAATCCGGGAATATCCCGGATTACCGAATACGTCTAATGCAGTAATAAGCTCTACTGGTTATCCGCTAAAACGATAAGATATTACGACGCCATATGCTGACGCATTACTGGCAATGCGGGAATTGTATCGTGAGAGACAGAGAGAGAGAGAGTATGTGTGTGTGAACTACGTGGGCGCGTAACGTTATCACACTGGTGGTTCTAAGTGTAATCTGCGAGGATAACAAGAAGGTTAGCGAGGCAAGATTGGCGTCAATATCGTTACCGTCGCGCGCGCGAGAGAGAGACAGTAAGACACAGAAAGGCCATGTGGCCCGCAATAAAGGCGGAGAGTAATAATGTCGCGATCTCTCTCCCTCCGATGCTCCATCTTATATATCCGACGTCAAAATGTAGGAACCATTCCCGGATTATACGCTCCTCGGTATTGTCTTGCGTCTATTGACTGCCTTAGAACTGTACTAGAAATGGCTCTCGCGCAGATACGTCATTTTCGAGTTCGCCGAGTGGAATAAGGAGCACGCCGTGCAATCCCTCGTGTAATAAAAATTATACGGGACTGGCTTAGGTGTTCGCGCGCTACGCGTATACGCAAGACAGTAATGATATTAATACGCGTAGAGGCGAAGTCGGCAAAACGAATGACGCAAGACGCGTCAAGTGACTCGGAAAGAATGTTAACGAACGGACGAGTGGATGTAATGAAGCGTGTGCGCAAAGAGAGAGAGAGAGAGAGAGAGAGATACGGAGCATAATATAATTGTGCACTCCCCGATACCGCGCTCTGTTCCGATACTTCATATTCCGTATTAAACCACGCCTCTTTTGCCTAAAGCTAATTACCGTGTGCATTCGCGGAATACACACGCCCGCCGACGTAGCACACCACTTTGTTTCGCGTTCAATCCATGCGTCATAAACAGAGAGGAAAGAGGATGAGCACGCGATGAGCCGGCAACGTATTCTTCGGTGAAAATTCTGCCGCGGTGACTTCGCGAACGATATCGAGTTTCGCCCCTCGTTTCGCATCGTCGTCGTCGTCGTCGTCGTCGTGGCATTGTCGGCGAAAATCCTATTCAGGCGGCGCGGCGGCAAGCGCGCGATTCCGCCTCGCACAAAAGCCACCGTGTTGCCCGCCCGCCCCCGCAAAATATGTGATTCGCGAAGCCCGGCTTAAGACCCCCGCATTGCGCCCGTGACGTCGGAACCATGGTGTCGCGTAAACTTGCATTCTCACCATCCGTCGCATTTCTCCGGCTGCCACTCTCTGGATGGATTTAACCGCCCCTCCCGCGTAAGATCTCTCTCCTTCCCTTGAGTCCTCTCCCTCCTCCCCCCCCTCTTCCCCCCGCGATTTAACTGCGTGAGCATTCGCGAGCGTTCTCGATCAAACGCGTCTGAAAGTCCGACGCAAGGGAACAACGTCACGTTTCGTTGTTTGCAAGCACTCATCGGTTCTGGAAGTATGCCAATCGCGATGATTTATCGGGGGTGATTGCTACTGCGGTTGCGACTATACATTTCTTAATAAAGATGATGAATAACTCTGCAATAGCGGAGTAGAAAAGATTGGAAAATAATTAGAAATGATTGTGTATATGTAGACGTGGACTCGTGTCGAAGAAACCGCGCATAGAAATGGCGTGCAATCTTATCCACGTAGATATCATTGATGAAATAATAATAAAAATGATTAATAAATCAAAAAATTCAAATGTACAAGTACTTCTTATCGGTGCTGTCGGTGTTCGGGAGACAAGCAACATCTTTAACGTTTTGTGAAAATATCAGATATATTTATATCGATAAGATGTGTATTTTTTTATTCATTGCTCGAGCGACGAGATGCTTCAATCCCCTTTTCATCTTTTATCACGCGAAATGCGATTTGCGTCATGTTACTCAAGCGACGCGCTTCTATGCGAAACGTTCAATGTTCTCATAGTTCATTCGATATTTTCCCGTCGCTTTCATGCGAATACCGGGCGATCGAGACCCGCGTTTGTCGCGCATCGCGCGGATCGCGCAACTCGTAATTTCATTCGCGGGAACTCCGGCGACCAACTCGGTTAGCTACATTTTGCAGCGGCGGATCTGTTCCTCGATAACACATCGAGCCGCGCGCTATTTATCGGCTCGCCCTCGTCTCGCTCTCGCCGACGCATCTAACCGCGTTCACGTCGTTCGTCCGTTCGTTCCCTCGTTCCCTCGTTCCCTCGTTCCCGAAGAAACCGCGTCGTCGACGGGAAGGAGGCGGAGGTGTGTAACGGTGTTGCCGGGGACGGAGGATCGAGGGAGAATAGCAAATTGAATCCCGCGAAAGCGTGTCCGGGACGAAGCCTGGGCTCTTCCTCTGGCTGCGGAAAACGACACCGTGCCTCTGCTACTCTCTCACTCTCTCTCTCTTTCGTTCCCGCGAGATCGATGGGGAATCGAGTTATCGACCTTAGTAGATCGAGCGTACCTGCGCCGCGTTAACCCACGGAACTTTATTGGCAATGCGCCGCACCGCGCGAGCCCACGCGTGCCCGGACTCGCGATCGCCGCGAATTCCGGAAAATCGACCTTCTTCCTCTTTCTCTCCCTCTCTCTCTCTTTCTCTCTGGCTGCTCGATCTCCTCGGCGCAGGTACACGCAAGCTTAGCAAACCTTCCTCTCCATCCGCGGAATGGGAAACTTCTTCCTCTCGCGGCTTTCCGGCTGCGTCCCGACTTCCGGTGGGCGAGAGACGATAGGCGGAAGTGATCTAGTCGGCTTTTCCAACCGCGATGACCGCCTGATTCATGAGCTTACTTGGAAACTTGATATCGATGGATGAAGCGCGTCATGAAAAGAAACTTCAATGACGATTGTAGTAACAATATTTTTTAGAAAAAACTATCTACGTCTTTGATGTAACACGAAAAAAAATGTTGTTATCATAACAAGTTCAAAATATCACAGAAAGTAGCATCAAAAAGTGATTTAAACTAAATATATTCAATGATGCAACTTTGCGTTTTATCGATGCCGTTAATTTCTGGAAAACAAACTGCATTCTCAATATTTTTCAAAAAACATTGGATGTATTTATGTAAGATACGTCGAATGCATATTTTGTTAGATATCAAATATCTTTGATGTTCCGCAAATATAGGACGTACAGTTAACAATGGAAACGATACCGCGTTCCGTGTGTAAAAGTCGATGAAAAATTGCAATTCTCCGTGGATTTTCTTTTACCCGCCCTGCGCGGCCCCGATTAAAAACTGTCGACCGATACTACAGTAACTCAGTTTGACAGTCGAATATCCAGCCACTCATCCAGATGACGGACGGTGGAGAAGGGTAACCGATTGTTGACGTCGAGTCTCAAAACGGCGCGACGTTTATACGAGAGCGGTGCCGAGAAGCGGGAGACAAAAGCGCGCGCTTTATTCCATATCGAGTGGCGGATTCGAGTTTCTATGGTCGGATTAACGCTGTGCGCGGCCCGTTCTCTCTCCCGAGGTATCGGTGTACAGGCTTTACGTTTGATTCCGTTCCCCCGCCCGCTCGAAACTTCTGGCAAGTTGCATTAGGATTGAACTATGCGCGCGAGCGGTATTGATCCTTGATAGTTCCGCAAACGCCCGGCAAGAATAATTCGCGATACAGAGTAATGAGTTTAATCTAGCAAGTCACTCCGGCGGCTATCGATCCCATGACTCGCGCTGTTTGAGGTATCCGGCGTGCATTAGACGCGCCGGGAAAAAATTTCGTCCGCGCAAAATGAAAAATGTGCAATGGAAGTAAAAGAGAATTTATTAAATCTTATAAAAAATCCAATTCCTTTTTATATTTTTCCACGTTCATAAAATGGAGAAAATAATTACGATAGTAAATATAAAATGTGCTATTTTCTATGATAGAAATCTAGCTTGGATTCAAACTGTCTCTAGCTTTGATCGAACTCGTCCGCACAAGCCGGATTCCGGCTCGGTTCAGATCGGATTCGATCCGCTCTAGACGTCGCGACGGCAGAAGTACGGAATCATGCGAATCACTAAGCTAAAAATCCGCGAACCTGTATACCGGCGGGTTTGACGAAACGTCGATCGGACGCGATCCGGTTCCGCGATCCGAGCGACGTCGAATCCGTGCGGGAATGCGGCCGCGCGCGCCTGGTTGAGAAGCGAAACACGGGGCCGGCTATGGTTACCATGGTAACCTACACAGTCGATTTTCCCGGGAAACGCTTAATTCAATATTCCTTTGGAAGATAGACCGCCGCATATATATGCAAACATATAATGCGTGCCGCTCAAACGACGACGGGCTCGGACTGCACGTATCTCGCGAATCTGCATCTCTCTCTCTCTCTCTCTCTCACTCTCTTTCTCGACAAAAGAAGGTTTCGACACTTTCTCATTGTAATACGCCACTTCGTTAAAGCCGTGTATGATGTCATACGTATTGTTAGAGCGATGTGACATACATTTTTTTTAACATATGTATCGAAGATCGCCAGCCACCGCTTGCTGACGCTCTTCATTCGTCTCTCCGTAACGAGATTCGTCTAGACGCGGATAATTCTATTGGGCTTCTTCGCTTTCTTGCCTCTTCGTATCCCGAACGCGCAATTTCACTTCGCTTATCGAGCATACGTAACTCGCAGAATAATAAAAATAATTTTGTCGGTAAGTCGAAAAAGAAACGGGTTTGATCATATCCAACGTTCGTCGAGTTCATCTTTATAAAGCAAGCAGCCCGCTTTTAGAATTTCTGTACAAATAATACATTTTT